GAAGAAGGTGATTCTTAAATGGTAACACAGGTAATAAGAAATGCTGAGACAGAAGCAAGGGTTGGAATTCTTCACACTAGTAAGCAATACAAACTGCGAAATAAGTAGACAGTATCTGGTCAAGCCACAGAGGGGTATACTGGGTCATAAAGTTCAGGCTGTTCCCATCAGGCAGACATGTACATTTCATAAAATTTCAAAATCCATTTAAATTCTGGCGGCTCCTTAATGAATAGAGAGAGTGCATAAACTTAGTGACATAGTTTAAATTGTTAAACTACTCTAGTTCTATGTATATATTTTAAATATTCCTTTTCATAGTTGTGCACTCCTAGAACACAGTGCTACTTACAGACATCCTACATTTTTTTATGAAGCACTTTATTTATGCCATCACTTCTCATGTTTTTCCACTGTAGAGCTGGCCAGTACATCAGAGCAATCATCTCTCAGTTGTGAATGTGAATGAGAATCTCCATTCTACTCATGTAGTATTTCACCTTGCTAAATATATCCCAGGTAATAAAGCTGCCTTTTCTTCAGATATCAATGTGATAGAAGCTGCAAATGTGCCTCATCTATACATTAATATGTCTTGTATACACATAATAAATACTTACAGTAAACACAAGTGGAGAGAAAATACAAAATATAATATGAAGTTCACGCTTGCACTTTGAGTTTGAGATAGAGGTATTGTGAATGTCAGTAAAGAATGCCAGTAAAGCTTTCATATATTTAGGTTATGTTAGCTCAGTCTTACTACACCTGTAAAATGGAGTAACAACAAAGGATAGCAAACCTTTATTTGTGCAAAACCACAGGATGCAGCTTTTTAGCCTGCATTCTCCCAGTATTTAAAAGCACCCCTTGTTTTATGTTGGTAATGCTTCAGAATAAAAAAGGGAATTGATTGTCAAATTCTCCACAAATAAGGAAGTTAACTTTGAAGCCAACTCTTAATAATACTTTAATAGTAAACCAGTGATATTTCACACAATATATTCTGATAGTAAAGCACTGAGGATGGACAGAAGACAATTTACCTTATTGTAGGATATTTCTTATGACATAAACACCTTAGATGTCAGACCATTTCTATTCCATGCTTCTACAGCAGTTAGAACAAGATGCTCATTTATATGTTCTGCATGTGGATATTTCCAATGTTTTGAATATGTTGTTGTTTTTTGAAGCCAAGAGAGTAATTCAAACTCCCTGAATCAACTCCAGTTTGAGAATTCTAAATAATCCTCATTTAGCAGAAGTTAATTAAGAAATTACAGTTAATTATGTCATGTAGATAAATATTATTCTATAACATTACCATTAAATACTTGCATTGTTTGCTTTAGATGCCAAAACATTATCTACTGCAAATTCCAATTCAAACTTAAATGTAAAAAGTGGCAGCCTCTAAAAACAAAAGCAAAGGTTGAAATCATGTTTCCTACAGGAAAATAACTGAAAATGTTGAATTGCTGCAGAAGTTTCAAATTTTTAGCAAATTTGTTTTCCTGTGGAAAAACTATTGCACAGCTTTGAAAGATTATCTCTAACAGGGATCCATGGTATGTATCCTTACTGAAGAGCTTTGTAACAGATATAGAAAGTAATCTTTTTTTTCCAGTTTGAGCCAACTAGATTACAATGAACTTAAACCCCATAATTTGGAAGATCTTGTTCACCAGAATCTAAAACTACTAAAAAGCATTTATTCTTATTCAGTAATAAATGAAAAGAAAATATTAAGCAATGCATTTTGGGAATGTGATGTAGATAAAGCTAAACATATCAGAGAGGGAGATAATTTAGAGAATAAAACTTGCACATCATTATCTTCTGGTCAAATGTACCTCCTTCAAAACTTGAAAACATACTTTTTCATGCATTGTTGCACTGTATGTAACATAAATTACATTACCTCACTGTGGAAATGATGTCTAAACAAAATTATTGTAATAGTGTCTGCTTTTAGTTTTGAGAGAAACTGTAAGATATTAATGAGGTTTTGATCAAAACATTATTACATCGGAGGATATGACACATGATAGATTTTAGGTAATTTTATGTCCACTGTGGTTTGTCCTTGGCAAAGTAGCAAGACTTTTTTTTTTTTTTTAATAAAAAATAATTAAAAAAAAAAATTACTCTTTCTTTCTATCAAAGGACTAAGAAGTTTCTTCTGTAGTGTCCAAAGAAAGTCTACTCAGTAGGTCAAAAAATATAAAAAGGTCTGCATGAATAAGTAGGAATTCTAAGGTAAAATCTTTGTCACTGTATGTTTTCAGTTCAACTTTTTAAACTTCAGTAAGACTTTTATGACATCTGTATCTTACAGTTCTGTTTTCAGTGAGGTCATATCTTTTCTTGGACTTCAGAATTTAAACAAGCACAGCAGTAGTCCCATCAAGGATAATGGGAGGACATGCAAGTCTAGAGCTGGGACCTAGGAGACTGTCACTGTACCCCACTACCAGACTTGGAAGCTGCAATACAAGACTTTTGGTGTCTCATGTTATGGAGATACCACTGGCATGGATCTTAGGTAATGTATTGATGAAAGTCAACATTAATTGACAGATCTACATTTGCATACAAATGCCACACTGAGCACAAATGAAAGCTGAGTCTGTGCCCTTGTATACAGATTGGCAACATGATTCAGATTTCTCTTTGAAAGCAGGCTTCTACTTTGAAAGTAGAGGGAGTGGGGAAAAATACTCTCCTGGCCCATTCTTATCTGATGTTTTTGCACCGTGTTTTAAAGTTCCCAGGAGAGAAAGAAATTAAAAGGATATATTTTTTAATCTATGCCAAAAAGACATTTCCTTTCTCCAGAAGAGAGATCTGCATCTCCGCTTCTAAAAATCTATTTCATTTCCCTCCCAAGATTGCCTTCAGTACCCCACTGAAAGAGGACAAACCGACCTTCTTAACTGCTTTTATATTTCCTTTCCTTATAAGGTATTTTGTTTTTAAATATCAAGTTAATGAACTTGAGACTAAGCCTTATAATTTCTTTTTGTTTCATTAATGTAAAGAACACCCTTAAGTCAATTACGTTTCGGTTTCCTGTTTTCTTTACTAGATACCTGTCCCCTTTGAACATGCCAGAGCAATTTTTGCTTTCAGAAATAAAATTATTTTTCTTCTTCCAGAATTGCTGATATCACTTACAATAAATAATGCTATTATTAATACCTGGAGAGGTAGCAAAGTTTTGTATATGAATGATATGGACTAAAGACACAGGCTACACTAGACTTATTGCTAAAGGAAAGTCAGTCTTAAGCAGTCATCCTGTATTCCATCTTCCTCCCTTGTATAGATATTATTTGAAAAATATTGTTAGCCTCATTTCTGAGTAATATGCACTCTGTTTTCTTCTGTTAATCAACCTGATGGAATTTATTCACAAAAATGCTCTTTTCCTCAGAATGAGTGAAGTGTTTTTTGGTTTTAATAGATTAAATTATTGAAACAAAATAATATGAATCAAAGCAAATAAAGTAATACATTTTAATGCCTGTATACAGGTTAATGTACATGTTTAATGCAACATATTTGGAAAAATGTTTATATTATTTAGGATCTGTACATAGGGGCCCAGAAAATCTTTAGTCAAGCTGCCAAGTCTTTTACAGACAACACCTGTTCAGAGAGACTGCTGAATCCATATTTGGGTCCAGGTTTCACTTTTGTATTATTTATAATTTAGATTGATATTTGGCTGTGGGGAAAATACAAACACTTTACAGTTTTTCATAAGTGAAGTGCTATTGACCATTATTTAGCCCAGAGCACATGGCTTCAGGATTTTTCTTTGCATATATTTTCTTCAAAGAACAACAATTTAATGACTGTTCATTAAAAATTACTTGAGTTTGCCACCTCTTCATATTCTGCTCACATCCTTTTCTTCTTTGACTAAAGGAGATTTAAAGGAGCATAAAAGGATGGGCTTGATTTTAAAGAAGAAATATGTCATTGCTGTGGAAAACATGCTGGGAACAATATCTAGTTTCTGTTTCTTCACTTGTTTAGGTTAAATCTAGTGCATTTTTAGGAGAAGACTTTGAAAACAGAATTATCTGAGTACATTTCTTTGCATCTCCAACAATTTCTGTAGAACTTGTGTCGCATCAGAGGTGTGCCTCCGTGGACATAATTCATCAAATAGATTTTAAAATCCAATCAAATGAAACTAAGCAGTCTTCCTCCTTGGGGACATATGGTAGTAAGTGAAATACTTAATAATGAAAGAAAGCGATAATAGCAGTCACAGGACTACCTTAGTGTTATACACACACGTATATAACAATCAGAAAAGAAAATTCCTTGTTCAGTATTAATAGTAAATTACATCCTCAATAGATTTGTTAAACTGATAATACCATGTAACCAGAAAGGCTGTCATTTCAGAAATGACAAAAAAAAGAGGAGCTTTTTAGATGGAAAGGAAATGTGGTTTTTAATACATATTTCAGCCTTCAAAATGTACTTGTGTTATTGTGATGTAGGAAAAAATGTAAAGTCTGTATAATAGAAAAAGTAGATGGGGTAACAAACTGTAAAAATACTGTCTTAAAAAAATACTATTCTTTGTTCTTTTCCATGGGTTACCTCACTGAGATCAATCACAGTGCTTCAGGAAGGCCTAAACTGTTTACAGGTGAAGAAAATTTCAGCAGTTTGATGTACATAACAGCAGGAAACAGCACCTGCAACCATTTAGTGGGAATATATTATCTACAAAAGTGTGGTTTTAATATACAGTAATGGATTAGCGTCAGTATCTCATAGCATAGTGTAAATAAAAATGCTAACGCCAGGATGAATGCTGTTTCTGAAATTGCTGACATTTGGAAAACGACTATTTGACACTTGAACCCCTGGGTTGGTTTTACAATGTATATGAGATGCCCAGAGCTAAACTGTATTTGCTGTCATGTAACCAAGATTAAAACAAATTCTGCAGAAATTATATTTGAATTAAAACTAAAAATATTCTTCTGCTGCAGAATCCAAGTGGCTCACATGTAAATTACCTGCTTTAAAACAAAATCAAGTATTAACTATCTGCAATTTGCAAGGAAGGATGTTATGACCAGACATTAGGTATATTTTGCAGAAGTAGACCCTTGACCTTTGGGCTCTTCTGTCACTTACCAGATGGGTTGGGATCTAACATTGATAGCAATGGAACTGGGCCAATAAGGAATAAAAAACTAGTGATTACAGCAAGATATACGTATGATTGACCCATACTAGCAGAAAGCACTCATAACTAACAGAATAACAATCTTCAGCATCCAGCTGGAGCACAAGTAGGCATATTTAAGTGTTTTTTTCAGTGGTTTCTTTTAATCCTTTTTCTCTAAAGGCTACACAAGACAATCACGTGTTTGAAATTAAATGACTTTTAATTATAATTGTTTTACTGATAGAGATATACTCTCTCACTTGGCTAATTCTTTAGAATTTTTTCATTCATTATTTTATTACTATTGGTCCCTTAAGATTGTCATATTGAATTTTCCTTCTCTCTGAAGTAATGAATAATGTAATTAAATCTTGGTTAAAGGTAGTTCACAGCCAAATGGTGCTCATTTCTTCCAAGCATCTGGTTGCCAATTCAACTTTTAGTTTGCTGGCTTTAATAATTCTTTGACCCTGATCAAAGAACTTTTTAATAGAGCTCTTAGTGGCTATTTACATGAGAAGATAAGAAATGGAGAACAAAACTGCAGAAAGAGCCAATCAGGCACTAAAATTCTGATGGCTTTTACCACATCTTACCCTCCTCTCCTTCAGAATAATTACAAGGATACAGGATTGAAAACAGGTGGAGTTAACTAAAAAAGTCTGTTCATTGCCCCAGAGGGACTACAAATTACAGTAACATTAGATCCTGTCCTACTTACTCCCATGGAATTTAGTGGTAGTTTCAAGTAAAGCAGAAGTCAGCCCTACCTGGCATATATATTAATGAAGTTAGAATGTGAATACCTAAATTTAGTGACAGCCAGTTATGCAGATGCTGAAGAACAATTACCACATGAGAGCTGAACTTTTGTCATGCTGTGCTTGTAACTCTTTCAGGTGCCATGCCATCTAATTCACATTACATCTTGTACAAAAACACATCTGGAGAATAGCAGAAGGAACTAGAAGGGACACAGATTGCCCCATAACACAGGGGATGCAAGAAGAGGTGTGGTAAGAGCTGCAGTGGGGAAAGAACTGATCTCCAGTCAACCTCAGAGAGAGAGAAATAGGCTTGTGAGAGCTCTCTTGGAGGCTATCAAGGAGAACCACTGTCTTAAACAGAGCCTGTGTCTAAAGGAGTCTGAGATGAATGAAGATTTCAGTAAGGTCAGTGCTTTGGGGGTGAGGGACAAAATCTAAAATGTCCTTTCATAGTGAGGATTAAATTAAAATGAAACAAGAAAATGATGCAGAAATATGGACGTCAGGCTCACTGTTGACATTTGAGTCAATGTCCCAAGCCAAAACATGTAAGAGTCAGCATTATTGTGCATTTCTGACTTTATAACTGAATTTATAAGATATAGATATCAGCTTCTTGAATTACAGAGTCTGAAAAAATGCATCAAAATTAGCAAAAATCTTAATCTTTCTATTGATGAACACCTCAGAAATTGTCTGTCTTAACAGCAAATTTTCAAATAGCATGCAGTAAACAAACTCAGATATACATATTGATCAATAAGATGGAAGGTAATCAGTGTTATTTTAAAAGTGAGCAACCCTTTGGACTAAGTAAAACAGCCATCCTAATGAAAAAAAAAAATAGTACAAGATCACAGCCTGACAGGTAAGGTTTTTGACTCTCCATAATTGAAAGCATTTCTGAAAAGCTTAGATAAATATTTTTTAGGACTACATAGTACAGCTGATTTCATTTTGGGCCCATGGCAGAAATTAGACCTATGATTTTGTGACTCAAGACTGTATTCAAATTAAGGTGCAGAAGTGGTTTCCAGCCTTTGAGGAGTTACAGCACTGTCAATGGGACACTTGCCACAAGCCCACAACTATCTATCTGATAGGATTAGCTAAATAGCAAATCATGCTGTGTGCCTCTGGCATCTGGCACTGTCTTACAATGGCACCATACCAACACTTTATTACATTTCTTTACAGGCACAGAAAACTGCACTCTGTGTATACATTATACTCTTTCAATACTTCTTACTTACTCTGTCCACTTACAAGCATGTTTATCCTTCTAATAACTTCAGCATTTTGGTAAGGACTCAACTGTCATTAAATAGTAAAGACTAGAAGTATTGCTCTATTGGTATAGAAACAGCCTACATTATTTGAAAAAACCCCAAACCAACAAACAAAAAAAACCTAACAAAAACAACCCCCAAACAGATAATTAAAGTAATATAGAAAAGAGTCTATAGCATCTGATGGCTTCTAGCAGCTTTTGGCACAAATCAGAACCAAGTACGGACAATGAAACACCTGAAAACCTTTTGAAGAGAGAGGGATAAGATAAAAATAGCACTATGTAAGACCTTGTTCAGCATTCACAACTAATGCATGGGATTATTTCATTCCCTATTTTACCTATTTGTTTTCTTGAAATTATAAATTAAAACTCTCTTTTGTCTACCATGTCTGATCATTTCAGATAAAAGATACCAAGTCACAATCAAGTAAATATTACCCTTACAATCTTCATATATATCCACTTTCATACAACCAGATCAACACACCTTGGATTGCTCAAAATTATCTGATTTTAGTCACTGACTAGACACATCATCAACTTCTAGGACATATGTCAAATGGAAATCATCTTTTGAACTCCTGAGAAAAAAATTAGTCCACTATAACAGGACACAATTTTCAACCCGGAGACCTCTCCTTTTTCCAAACTCCACAAGGTACAAAAGGAGTTATCACCCTAGTTTTGTATCAGTGCCGTTACAACTTTAGGTTGAATGGCCTACTAAGAAATGAGAACAAGAAAATTAAGCTTAGACCTCTTTATTTAATCCATAATTTTCCTTCTGAAAACCTTCCCCAACAACAGCTTTCTTTTCTTGATAAGACTAAGACTGTCTTATATATCATGTATGGATTTCTGTACCACAGGATAAAGCAGAACTTCCTTTCATAGTAAGGATTAAATTAAAATGGAACATGAAAACAATGCAGAATTATGGATGTCAGGCTCACTGTTGACATTTGAGTCAATGTCCCAATCCAAAACAGCTAGCCTTATCCCAATTTACAGTGATAAAGTCTTTATGTATCACACACATGTATTGCAATGACCTGAAGCAGTTATGTTTTCAAAGAACATTAAGAAAAATATGACACCTCCTGGTGCAACTATTGCCTCTATTTTATTAAGACTAATGAGAACAAATTCTACCCAATCCTAGACCAAGGGGAAAATTCAGTTAGCTTGACAACTGAATGACAATGATATAATTACCAAACCATACAGCTTCCAAAAGTTCACAATCCCTTTCATGCAATAAAGGAAATTATTTTTAGTTCAGTGCACAATATGGTCTCAAATAGCATCGTAAGAAAGTGACCTTATAAAACAAATAATTAATATAAAAATGACCCGAAGAAAAAAATTTCTCAGTATATCTCAGCATTGTTTCTAGCTTTCTTGTAATGGTTGATAACCATCTATCCTTTTAGTTCCGTGCTTTTACTCTAGTAATCAGGGGCAGGAGGGAAACGAAGCATCTTTTACATTCTTTTCTAATACACATGGTATGAAATGCTCAGGAGTGCAGAGACTGAGGTCCTAATGGGGTTTTTCTAACATTCTTACACACTGTCTCTCACAAGACTAAACTTGAGATGACAAATGGTGGTTTCTCTACCTCACTGATAATTAGATTCCGCTTATCTATTCAGGGCCTGAAAATACTTCTTTGACACACCCCCTTAATATTTTTGAACAATTAATATTTTTGAATTATTGCAAACAGCAAGGCAAAGGCAAACGTATGAGCAAGATTTGACTAATTCACAGAAAGAGTGGTCAGACAGTGGAATAGGCTGCTCAAGGAGGTGGTGGAGTCACCATCCCTGGATGTGTTTAAGGGTTGTTTAGATGAGATGCTGGGGGATATGGTGTAGTGGAGAACTTTGTAGAGTAGGGCTGATGGTTGGACTCGATGTTCCCAAGTGTCTTTTCCAACCTGAATGATTCTGTGATTCTGTAATTCAAAGTCAAAATAACAATAAAATGGTAGTTTGGAAATAACTCCATCTGAAAGGACAGCAGCTTTCTAGCCCTAGACAAAGTCCTTTGCAGATCAGTTTTACCCAAAACAAATATCCCCCATGTTCCCTGACTATTTGGAGAATATTTCCTAGGAGGTTTCAAAAGCAGGAGATTCTCCATATTTTTTCAAGTTTCAAAGACCAACTTTTTTTTTTTTCCCTAATTACACAGTATTCTGTTATGTTCCCTTCCTGCTTTCACCAAGAACATAAAATAACACATAGCTTGGGGAATTGGATGTATCCATTAGACAGGTAATTAGACCAAAAAAGATAGTGTATAAAAGAAACTGAATGTGCAGATAATTGAAGTCACTGGGGTTTTGGTGCTAGGACACAAGAACTGATGGCAGAAAATCATGCTGAGTAGAGCCAAGTCTAAAGGCATTAAAGGCAGCAATTGTACCCACAGAAATTTCTCCTGAACCAGGAAAACGCTAGATTAACTAATTCTATGGGAAATAACACAACCCTTTCCATCCAGCTGAAAAAAAGACAAGGAAGATCTGAAGTAAAATAATTATTCTCAGTCCCAGTTACTAACTGATTTTGTACCTCAAGACTGCTTGACCAACATGCGTTATGCTTTTTTGTTCTAGATCATTACGATGAAGAATGGCAGAGTTTCTCTCCCTCAAGATCCATGCAGAAGAAAAAGTGGCAGAATTAAATTTCCTATCTTTCTTTTCTTTGGATTTATTACTTATAAACAAGATGGATTCCAAATTTCATACAGGATTTTTTATTTTTTTGAATAGATTAAGATTTATTTTTTTTAATGAAAACATGTTTCTGAATATGTATTTAATTATATCCATCTACTGAGAAATGGTACATTCAAGAGAATGAAGAACAGTTTATAAATTTTCAAGTATAGGAGAAGTACAGAAAACAAGAGAAAATACATAATTTTTCAATCTGGAATTTGGCTAGTACACTCAGCCCTGATCCTTCTCAAAAGCATACACATGGTGGGAAGAGGAGGGCATACTGTATTACAAGTGGTCGATTTCACTTGGCAATTCACATAACTCTAAAGTAAACCATATGCCTTTTAAAATTGGTGCTCCAGGCATCTATAATTTTTGACTTAAATATGCAAAAACATATCTTCCATGAGAGAACTAATAGCTGGATTTGGAAACTTGCATATATAGGTATGTATGTAAAATTTTTGTTTGGGAAATAGTAGGGAAATTACACTGAGGAGTTTGATTTATATTTCCATTTGCTGACAGCCTTTGCAGAATGATACAATGCCTTATTCTATGAGCCTCATTCTCATTATAATATCACACTTGGGAGTTGAATGTTTTAATCATTAGAGAGGATGTGGCAATTCAAGTGGTCATAATGAGATTAATAAAGCAAGAAGGTCCTTCAGATAGAACCTTATGTCACATTAGGCCTTATTAGAAGAAGAAAATATCTTGCAGAAAATATCTTGCTGCTGTACAGCATATTCTGAAGGGATTGTCAATAACTGTCACATGGTTGTGCATTAATTGTGATTCACTGCTTTAAGAAATTCATTTTTCATCTAGGAAACCAGAACCCTGGAACTGATTTCATTTAGGATGCTGCAAATTCATACCACCCTAAAGCAAATTTCAGGATGCCAGAAGTTTCAGGAAGGCTCCTCTAATTAAGGTGTTGAGTACTTGGGGAGAACGAAGTTGGCCACTCCTGACCTAATGGTATAACATGTTTTGCTGATCTGCAAACAGATAATATATTCCTCAACTGATACCAGTTCCTGAAGCTATAAAATCAGCTTTCTCCTCCACTGGGAAAAACGCTATCCTCACATTAATTAATCCCTCTAAAAGACACTCCCTGAATGCCAGGGCCTCAGTTAGCATATTTTTCATACAATCACAAGCCCATGAGTAAAAATATTTTTAAATTTCACTAGATTTATAGCTAGATGGTAATACATTTGTTTGACTTTAACATAGATGCTAACATTTAAATGGCAACTGAGTGAATCTCTTCACAAACCAAACCCTCTCCTACACCACATCTTCTGATTAAATACATGATAATATTTAACAGTTTACCTTGGTGCTTAGAGCGGCAGGCAGTGCAGTGTGTCAGGGCCACAAGTGCCCACGCTCCCAGGGCCCTGCGACAGCTGCCAGCTCCCTCAGGGGTGGGGAGGGCAGGCCCAGAGATGGTGACCAGCTCCAGCCACCATCCCAGGTCACAAGGCAGCAGTGAGAGGAGGTCTGAGGCCAAGCTGGGAAGCCACTCTGTGAGCCAGGGTTCACCTGCAGTGTGATGACTGCTGGGCAGGTCCATGAAGACAAGGTCAAGCTGGGAAGCCATCCCAGGGTGGGGTCCAGGCCCTGGTGCTGGAGGTCCAGAGCTCAACTAAGGGGCTCTGGGCAGGCAGGGGCTGGATGCCTCAGGTGAGGCTCCTCAGGGCCATTAAGGCCTATTATTAGTGCCCTTAAAACCCTGACAGATCCATCCTAACAACACATTCTCTTTCATTTTGCAAAAAAATAAGAAGGAGAGGTGAGAACTGGAAGAAAACTCGTACATAAAAATGCAATTTATGAGGGGAGACAGAAAGGTAAATCTCAATTTCATCTCCTTGTTCCAAGCTATGCATTATAGTGGAGCAGAGCACGTGCAGAACAGCTGTCAGCCAGTCACAGACAAAAGGAAAGGACATGCCTGACTAGCATGATGGATTGGGACAAAAAAAGATTTCCCATAAAAGAAATATATATCCACATACTAATGGATGTCTCAGAATCACAGCAGTGCAAAGAAAGGTGGCATCCTTCATTTTCTTGCAGATCTGACCTATCAGTGAGGGAGACTTCCAAATATTCAAGTCTCACCTTAAAAACAGAAATTAAGCATGAAGATATTAAAAGTTATTCCCTCCTTCTTTCAGCATTAGACACTGTGCAAAGTTATTAAGTATACCTATTTGAGAAAGACTCGCTTTAAACACATGCTTAAATATTATCCTGAAATTTCACTTGAGACTTCTGTCATATTTGAACACAAATCCACCTAATAAAACAGAAGTTATCAGACCAGAGCACCCTAATAACGCAGACTCAAACATTTCAATGCCGTCTTCAAACAGTAAATCAATTCTTGCGCTGACCTTGTGAATTATTTTGTTTTCCTTTATTCTGAATTTTGATGCTAGAACAAAAGTAGATGTTTCCACTGTCACCTGTCACAATCATCCTTTAAATGGCTGAAACGTAGCAGTAGTAGACAAGATATTTGTACTAAGGAATGCATGTTCAGGTAAGAGAAAAACTGCTATCTAAGGAAGAACACCAAGCGATAAACCTGGCCATTTCTTACCAAGATAAATTTTCATCAGTTAGAAACTAGAGAGAAGCATCTGTCCACAGCAGCACAGAATGGCAATTAAGAATATAATATGTACCTTGCATGCCATTAAAGCCTGAGGCACTTCTGTTGAGAGCATTCTGTAAGCCATAAGAACCCCTATGTGCATATTTAACTCATCAGGGAATTGTATATCGAAGAAGTTATTTAAAGTTAATCCCCCATAAACCAGAATGGCACAAAATTCAATTCCAAGAGTTAGTGAGTTTTCAATTGTCATGGTTTAAGCGCAGCCAGCAACTAAGACTCACACAGCTGCTCACTCACTCCCCGCCCCCCCCCCCCTAGTGGGACAGGTGAGAGAATAAAAAGAGTAAAAGTGAAAAAACTTGTGGGCTGAGATCAAGACAGTTTAATAGGTAAAGCAAAAGTTATACACAGAAGAAAACCAAAGCAAGGAATTAATTCACAACTATACAGGCTTGGGGAGGAGTGGCTGCAGAGCTGCCAGTCAGAGAAGGACCTGGGGTGTTGATTGACAGCCGGCTGAACAGGAGCCAGCAGAGTGCCCAGGTGGCCAAGAAGGCCAATGGCATCCTGGCTTGTGTCAGCAATAGTGTGGCCAGCAGGGACAGGGAAGGGATCTTACCCCTGTACTCGGCACTGGTGAGGCCGCACCTCGATTCCTGGGTTCAGTTTTGGGCCCCTCACTACAAAAAGGACATTGAATGACTCGAGCGTGTCCAGAGAAGGGCAACGGAGCTGGTGCAGGGTCTGGAGCACAGGTCGTACGGGGAGCGGCTGAAGGAACTGGGGGTGTTTAGTCTGGAGAAGAGGAGGCTGAGGGGAGACCTCATCGCCCTCTACAGCTACCTGAAAGAAGGGTGCAGAGAGCTGGGGATGAGTCTCTTTAACCTAGTAGTAAGCGACAGGACAAGAGATAATGGCCTCATGTTGTGCCAGGGAAAGTTTAGACTAGATGTCAGGAAGCATTTCTTTACAGAATGGGTTGTTAGGTGTTGGAATGGGCTGCCCAGGGAGGTGGTGGAGTCCCCATCCCTGGAGGTGTTTAAGAGTCGGGTCAACTTGGCACTTAAGGACATGGTGTAGTTGGGAACTGTCAGTGCTAGGTTAATAGTTGGACAGATGATCTTCAACGTCCTTCCCAACCTAGCTGGTTCTGTGATTCTGTGACTTCCCATTGGCAGGCAGATGCTCAGCCATCTCCAGGAAAGCCAGGCTCCATCACACATAATGGTTATTTGGGAAGACAAATAACATCACTCCAAAAGTTCCCTCCTTCCTTCTTCTTTCCTCAACTTTATATGTGGATCATGATGTCATATGGTGTGGGATATCCCTGGGGTCAGCTGTCCTGGTGTGTCCCCTCCCAAATCTTTGTTCACCCCCAACCCATGTGGGGTGAGAAGCAGAAAAGGGCTCGATTCTGTGCAAGCACTGCTCAGCAGTAAGGGAAACATCCTTGTATTATCAACACTGTTTGCAGAACCAATCTAAAACACAGCCCCATACTAGCTACTATGAAGAACATTAACTCTATCCCTGCCAAAAGCAGCACATCAGTGTATACAGAAGATAAAGGATTACTTTGGCTACAATCTGTCATCCTAACAAAACTTTTCCCCTTCCTAAAATCCAAGGTAGTATTTTTAACCTCCCAATCTATGCTGCAAGTATTTCCTATCAGTTTAGGGCAATAGTTAGAGATTAAAAAAAAAAAAAAAAAAAAGTAATTTCATCAAGGCATGTCTACAATACCACAAGATTACAACCAGAGCTTTTGAGGAGCTATCTAAACCACACTTAATCAGGCTTCTTCAAATTCTGCTAGAAGGATAACGCAGAGCACCATACAGACTAACCACCCCAGTGTTCAATCAGGTGAGTCACCAGTACGCTGAGGTCTTTGCCAGGATGAATATGATGTTTACAGGATGGGGCAAGGGCAGGGAAGGAGCGGGGGGGGTGTCTCTCCTGGGAAGGGACCTGGGCAAGGAAGTCTTGGTTATGCTTACATTAGTTTTTACACATTCTCACCACTTCCTGCTTCCTTCCCACTAGATGCCAAGCAAGTGCCCATGTGGCTTTCCCAGCCTTAGATGACACCAGGCTGTGGGTTGTCACCCACTGACCCCCTGAGCTGTGATGCCAGCCATTTCCCAGATCTGCCAGTCCCAAAGCTGAAGCTACAGCCAGGGAGATCACAGGCACATGGCTGTTGGACATGGGTAAACAAGTCCCAACCAGTTCTGGAAAACACAAACTCACCGAGCTCTTGGTGCTCTGCTCTGCCAGGACTATGGCCTTCTACTGGCAACAGCAAAAATACTGAGCTTCTAATCTAGTGTTGACTCATGACAACCTGTATAGGTCTGAGTGAGGCTCATGTTTCCTTGTCACTGTGCATGGTCATTAATTCACTAGGTAAGTGATTGATTTTTAAAGCCAATGCAATTTTCATAATTAGCAAGAACACTATGATAGAACTTGCAACCACAGGTTGTAATGTTAAGGTCAAAATTCCTGCAGTTGTTGCAAACTGCAGTGTTACTTTTACGGGTGCAGTATAACTAAAGTCAAATCTTTTAACAGAAGCACCTATTATGAGGCAGGTAATAACAAGGCAGTTTATAACAATTTCTAAGCACTGAGTAAATATACAAACATAATTAGTTTCCACATATATGATTATAGTTTGATTAGAAAACATAAATTCATTCATCATATTTGGCCAAATTTTGATCTAAAAAATTGCCTGAAGTTTGAAAACAAATACCTTCACATATCCCATGCACACATTAAGCTGTGTTTGTTGTCAGCTTCTCTAAAGACAGCTTCATTTGGCAGGTAGCTCATTCTTATAGATACATATATCAGAAACACTATTACACTTTTGAAAATTACCAAATCAGAGCCTTTGTAATAAAAAGAACTGTTTCTATCTAATTCAAAAGTGATTAAATACCATACGCATATGTATTCTTTTGATATTTCCATAACAGTGAATTTCTACATCATTTCACAGAATCACGGAATCGTCTAGGTTGGAGAAGATCTTGAAGATCATCCAGTCCAACTATTAACCTAGCACTGACAGTTCCCAACTACACCATGTCCTTCAGCACAAGTTGACCCGACTCTTAAACACCTCCAGGGATGGGGACTACACCACCTCCCTGGGCAGCCCATTCCAACGCCTAACAACACGTTCTGTAAAGAAATGTTTCCTGATATCTAGTCTAAACTTTCCCTGGCACAACATGAGGCCATTATCTCTTGTCCTGTCGCTTACTACTAGGTTAAAGAGACTCATCCCCAGCTCTCTGCAACCTCCTTTCAGGTGGCTGTAGAGGGCGATGAGGTCTCCCCTCAGCCTCCTCTTCTCCAGACTAAACACCCCCAGTTCCCTCAGCCGCTCCCCGTACGACCTGTGCTCCAGACCCTGCACCAGCTTCGTTGCCCTTCTCTGGACACGCTCGAGTCATTCAATGTCCTTTTTGTAGTGAGGGGCCCAAAACTGAACCCAGGAATCGAGGTGCGGCCTCACCAGTGCCGAGTACAGGGGTCAGATCCCTTCCCTGTCCCTGCTGGCCAGGCTATTGCTGACACAAGCCAGGATGCCATTGGCCTTGGCCCCCTGGGCACACTGCTGGCTCCTTTCAGCTGGTTGTCAGTCAACACCCCCAGGTCCCTCTCTGACTGGCAGCTCTCCAGCCACTCCTCCCCAAGCCTGTAGGGCTGCTGGGGGTTGTTGTGGCCCAAGGGCAGCCCCCGGCATTTGGCCTTATTGAAACTCCTCCAGTTGGCCTCAGCCCATGGCTCCAGCCTGTCCAGGTCTCTCTGCAGAGCCTCCCTGCCCTCGAGCAGATCAACACTCCCACCCAACTTGGTATCATCTGTAAATTTACTGAGGGTGCACTCGATCCCCTCATCTATATCATCAGTAAAGATGTTAAATAGGAGTGGCTCCAAAACCCACCTCTGGGGTTAAACCACTTGTGACTGGCTACCAACTGGATTTAACTCCATTCACCTCAACTCTTTGGGCCTGGCCATCCAGCCACATTTGTTAATCACTGTATGTTTTAAAATATCCCCAGGACAGCACAAGTCTTCGTGTTACAGAGCTACACTTTCTAGTACAATTTCCTTTGTTTAAAAAACACAACACTTGCAAACAGCAAACTTTTTAAAAAAATACTTGATCAATTCAACTTTTCTTCTTACAGCTCTGAAAATATTGTCTTATAAACACAATAAATTTCATCCATATATAGATAATATATTAGATGTTACCAAAATAGGCGTTCTTTATTGGTAATCTACTAATTCTGATCATTATTAGTAGGAGGAACATCTATCCTCACCCAAGTGAAGAATGTTGCTGTTGTTTATAGACACACCTGAAACTTGATCTCTTTTTCCTTATTACTTAATTTCCTATCCCTATTTTAATCTGATTTTCATTTTGCCATGACAATTGACCTGGAAGAACCCTTACAGGTTTATTTTTTTCAAATATGCATATTAGCTAAAAAAACAAAATGAAAACCAGCTAACACAACATTAAGCAATATATAATTCCAGCCAAATGGTTGGAATGGAGTACTTGTCTTCTAAGATATCAATGGAGGAGAAAAATAGTTAAGACTTAATCAACCCTACCTTAGTTATCTGACATAAAGCATCTCCCGTCATAAGATTTTCTGATGATATTAAGGCTATTTAGTATGTTTGTTTCTGAAATGCCTATTACAAAGTGCATTCTTGTTACTTAATAAAGTTTGCTCAATATTCTTAAAAACTGTTAATTGGTCTTTTATTCTTTTTTTGTAAATGTTTGGTTCCATCTCTCTTTTATAACAAAGTTCATTTTAACATTGATAGTAATGATACTTGTACATAGATTTCACTACTCCTTTTCCTTCCTTCTCATTTACACTTCAAAGAAACCATTTTTAACACATTAATTGAAAATTTATTATAGGGTTAACTTCTGACTTTTGGTGTTAACTCCATCCCAGTCCAGTTAGAACTACTTACATTCTGAGAGCAGTACACATTGCTCTATTTAAAAATGTGCTTTTTCCCCCCTTCTCCTTTTTGATATCTTTTTACCTTCTGCTCTTCTCTCAGAATGATCCCTACTTATTGTATCTATGCTGCCAGTTCTACCAGCAATTGGTATCACTGCTCAGTCTATTTTAGTTTAACCAGGCAGTTAATGTCAGTATTTCTCACATCCTGTGCGTTCAGATGATGCAGCAGGACATTGAACATTGGCAGTCACAGCTCTCAGTACCTTTGGTTGCACATTTCACCATCTTTCCCCTTCTTTCATTGCTCCACCTTTTATTTTTACAGTAGCAATGAGCATTAAAGGTTTTGCTTTAAAAATATCCAACGTTTCATTAACAGGATCGCAAGGTCATATAACTTTTTTACTCTTCTGAGAAAGGGTTGTCATTTAGGTCAAAGCATCCACTGTGAGGCTCATCCCCTTGATAAGAGACTGCTTTAGAAATGGCCATTGTCACACCTTGCTTTGTTCCTGGTGCTCCTTCAAATCCTTCAACTTCAGCCTTACAGACTCAATTGTTGAATCTTTCTCTTTCAGGGTATTTCTTGCGTTCTCATTACTTTACATAAAAACCTGCCTAGAATTAAAAAAAAAAAAAAAAAAAAAAAAAAAAAAAAAAAAACAAAAAACCCCCAACCAAACACAACAACAAAAAAACTCCACCAAAAACCAGTAGTCAGAGAAGAGAGTTTTCCCAGTGGCTTCCACAAATTTAGTAAGAAAGGTCAATCCAGTGCAGGTTTTCTCTCCTTGGCAGTGCAGTATGGGGTTTTAAACCATCAAAAGCCTTCTTAGCCTCTGTAGATTTAAAATGGCAAGAAGTTAGAGGGGACAGGCATAACAGAGTGACAATATTCACATCATGCAATGACAGGCACCAATAGAAGTTTCTGAATGGTAGAAAGTGCTGCAAGAAAGGGAGACTCAATTGGAAAAGAACTTTTTCCAAGATTCAGCAAAGATTAGTGATAGAGAGAAATCTCACATTACATCATTGCAGCTAATATGGATGTCCCAGATTATCCACAAATTGTGTAAACCAGGACAAGGACATCTAAAAGAAGTTGGAGGGTGGGGGACAGCAAGAAACCACATATTAACTTCTACAAATGTCTCCCGATTCTTTGAACAGGCTTTTCTGTAAGCAAAACTAGAAAGGGACTAAAAGTAACACAAAACTTGTGTGCTGTACAATGCAGTTACCTAATATATGCAGAATCAAAAAATGATTGTATCTGTTTAATTCAACTATATTTTAGCCATCCTATTCTGTTTTCTCCTGCCACATCTTGCCAGCCCCTCTCTCTTGAAAAATTTTTCTGAAAAAATAGAATCCTCTGACAGTAATGTAAGTAAAAATAAAGATCATGACCCATGGTGGTCTGGTTAAAATTACAGAATTCCTTTTCTATCCTTTACTTCATGATCCTACTTAATCCACTAAAATAAAATTTAAAAAACTTGATAGATTTAGCTACTTGTATATGTGAGTCTTGCAAAATTAGCAAAATATCAAATTATCTGTGATATTATTAAGCAAAAGAAGAACAGCTGAAAAGCAGAAATAAACTTTGAAAGATTGACATTAAATATAATTTTGTAAGTACTTTACTAGTCTACTAAGCCTTTTGGTTTACAAAACTACAGTTTAAAAAAATCTGACAAATTTTTCTTATCTTATTTCTTGGGATGAAATAACTACAATATTTTGAGAAGTCTGCATCCACTTTTGAATATGGAAAAGATCCATTATAGATAAAATATGTTGAACAAAGACATCTCAGGCAAGACCCTCTTCATTTTATTTTTTTTTTTTTAACCAAAAAAAGATAATTAGTAAGGAAAAACAGCTACTAGCATACACAGCTATTGCTTCCCTGCCATAATGTGAATACATTTGGGTTTTATTAGCAAGGGTAAATGAGTATAATTTGACACTTATACTTCTTTGTCTTCAATAATATTAACAGCAACAAAACTTAAAAAGGCTTTAAAAAATGCTAAATTTGGAGTTTGAGCACAGAAGCAAAACTGAACAAACAATTTAACTTATTTCATTTTACCAACAGAGTTTAATGGCTCTAATAATATTGCCAGTAATGCACATGCTTATAATAACCAGAACTTTATCTTCTGCTTAATCATTAGTATATGAATATTAACATTACAAAATACTAAATTTAAGTATTTCTAAGTACAGCTTTATTTATTTATCTAACCTAAATTGCACTCAAAACCATGCAAAAGTCATCCTGAGATAGTACTATATCACAAATATCATTACAGCACTAAAAAACAGTTGTCAAATTTAACACATTAGTGCTGAAGAATGGTGGGAGAGAAAACCCCCAAACCACACAAATTTCACTTATCTGTATACTATCACCAGACTTCACAGGTACCTCTGAATCCTGCTATCCAAGGGGCGTACTAGCTTGTCTGTATGTATTACCTGTCTTTAACTAACAGGTGATTGACTGGCTATCTGGATTTTGAACTCTTTTTCAGTCCTGAACTTCCTCATTGACAATACATAATAACCAGAAGTTAACAATTTTCCTTGAACAACTTTCAGGATAGTGGGGTTTTCTTCCTCAAATTCAAAACCTACTGAACTAGTCTTCTCCATTATAATCATTCAAGTGAGTCAGATTCTCAGCAGATGTTAAAATGGTGCAGAACTACTGAAGACAAGACTCAGATAGCAAGTCTATGAATTAATTAAATGTAAATTCCTGGACCAGCACAGCCAATACAGGGTTCATGTTTCAGATTCTAGGTTGTTCTGGATACGTGCGTTATTCTATAATTCAAAGTCATTGAGCTGAGTCCAAATTATTACATAACGAACTATGACCAAAACCCTCACTCTGATGCCTGTCTACATCACATGACAAAGACAAGCAAAGGATTAACTGAGCTGCTGCCAGCCACAAACCAACCCACCTATGTCAACATGCTTTCAAACTGCCCACTCTAACACAGCTACACTGTTTCTGTCTCTTCATGTGACATCTATGCTGTGCCATGTATTGACCAGTGTTTGCTTGGTATTCCAGAGCTTGCTTGGCATTTTGTATCCCATTTCACAACCAGAGCAAAGGTTTGGTGCTTGCTGGTAACAGTCATGACACATAACAATAGTCAGAGAGCACTCTGTATTTTCATTTATGGAATGGAGGCAATTACTAGTTTCCAGGCATTGTTGCAAACTGGCATTGATTTGGAATTGCAACCTATTTTGTTAACCTCTCATTAAATATCAGCCAAATAACCCTGGTTCTGAGAAAACGCGTGAGCCAGAATACTGTGCTATATAAAGACAGACACTTGATTCTCCTTTTTCTCTCTTAATATTTCTTCTCTTTTCCAGAATTCATCTGTCAAAAAAATTACAATAAATTTCTTCAATGATTTGTACTTCCCACAGGCAGTTCTGACATTTTTGCTAAGCAACACCATACTTTAATGCATAATTTTCACTAGAACATCATTCACATAAGTATAACAAAAAGAGATTGTTTTTAGAATCATTTTCCCCTGAATCATATGCCATAATCAGGGAAAGGGAAAAAAAAATAGGAGGACGTAAAAAAGATAGTTTCTTTTTTGTATCTATACAAAAATCACATCTTTCTCCTAAGGCTTCCTAGTATTAATTTAAATAAATATTAAAGAATTTTTAGCAGTATGAGTTTCATATTTGGACTTTGAAATTCTACAGAAAATTACAATTGTCTGCCTAAATTTTTTTTTATTATTTTAGGCCTAGCGAATGTATACCTATTCAATCTGAATTAGTTGACCTAGATGTAGTCCAATGAACCAGTGAATCTAGTGGGGGCTGGATTCTACTCAGTTACTTCAGTTATAACTAATTTGCAGCTGAATTACATCTGGATGGGATTTTATTTCAATAAAAGGTCAGCTTCTGGACTTCAACGGATGAAGACCCATTTGGGAAGTAAGAAGTTGTCAAAAGCTTCCTTAAAATAGAAGCTTCAATAGAAAGTGGCATGGAACTCTGGATTTGTTTCAGAGAGAAGTGATTAAATGTTTGTGTTTGTAGAAATTACAATGAATATGCACAATGCAGAAGCCATCTGCTAGAAGAGTCTTATAAAAGATTAAACACTGAGTATACTGGAAAAATCCTATGGGAATATCTTGCACAATTGGAAGCCAGCATTCTAGTGCACACATCAGCATGCAGGATGAAAAAAGCACAGCACAAACTCTTTAATCATAAATCCAGTGAGTTTTCAAAAATAATCCTGTATATTGTCAATTTATATTGGTCTGTTTTGTAAAAAAACAGCCTATGAAGCCAAGAAACAGCCAAGCCTTTTACTTATCAGAAGTATTGATGGCTTTCTTTTGTAATCACAGAGGAATCCTAAAGAATAAGCCCAAAATTCAGCTTGATAATTATCTAGGATTCCTCTTTATCAAGGTCTGTCAATCTGTCCCATTTCATTGGTCAATCATTCTTTAAATAGTATTTTTAGTAGCTCTTTATTCTAATAAGCCTATACTCCAATTATTTCATTGGGACTGGAAAAATCTGAAATGTGTGTAAAATAAATAATGAGGAAGAATCCAGCACACTTGGAAAGTGATAAAGTAAACAATATTTGCAAGGAAATGTTTTATAATTATTGCTTTATAAAGTAAAATATTTGTTCTACATTTACAAGAATGCTCAGACTTCAGAAAACACAAGCACTTTTTTACAAACCAGACAGTTTAAAGTAACCCTCTATCCATTACACACAAAATTAATCTTATGAAACTTTCTGTGCAATATTGTTTCTACTCCAGATGGCTACCATCTAATAACTATCTATTTGCATTAATTTGCTGAATTCTACTTCTTACTGACACATACTTCCTGCAAGACAGGAGATCATCTTATTTTGTCAAAAGTGTCCATAAATCATTAAATTCTGCTAAGTTTTGCATGCTGTGGGCTAGCTAAATAATGCTGTTTCTTTTTTTATTTCAGAACAGCATCAGCTTTGAAATACAGTGACATTAGATTACACTCTTTAGTTTTCCAAACCCCTTCTGCAAAAGCTTTGTGAACTATAGAATACAATAATTTCACCTGACAAATACAGCTTTTAAACTATGTATGACATTAAAGAGCTTTTCAAAACACTGGCCAAAGACTACATCAATCTGTGAAACTGGAAGCAGACCAAACAAGCTGTTTAACTTGCATTCTGGCCAGGCTATCAGGTCAAGTTTCCTCTTGTTACAAAGTGTTATAGGATGCTCTAATAAGCAAGTGGGTTAAGAAATCTGACCTCTTTAATTTCCAAGGCTTTACCTACTCTGTAGTTGTGGTTCAAACATGAGAGGTAATTTTAACAAAACCAGAACAAAACCAACCACAAGAAGAAAAAAAAAACCCCACACACAAACCCCCAAAACCAAACCAAACAACCGATATACACCACCACACTGAATGGCTTTAAGACCTTCAGCAAGCACCAAGACAAAACCCTTGATAGGTAGTCACAGGTTCAGGCCTAGCTTGTCAAGGATATGTTGTTTTAGCACCTATGCCACCTTCCTGCAGAGCTGAAGTATACTTACACAAGCTTCACACAGATGGCAAAGTAGACATTTCCCAATAAAGTCAAGCCTACATGTCCCTAACACTAGAAAAAATGAGAGCATGAACGTCACATGTTGGATCACCATACCATATGTAACTTCTAAACTTTTGTTTGGCCTTTTTACCCAGGAAAGCACCTCAGAATTTCCACTCATTTTTCCTCTGAAAGATTATACAGAATCAGTGAGTCTCAAAGTACTAGATATCTAACGTAATGGGGCTAGACATTTATATTCATGTTTGAAAAATGTTAAGGTTCCCAAGACTGTTGTTTGCTCTAATTTCCAATAGGAATTTATGTCCCATAAAATCCAACCCTTATTAGAAAACTTTCCTAGGGTTACCCCTTTGCCAATGAAGCTATTTAACATCTGTTGCTGCAGAACCTACCAGCCAATCTACAGTGCCATTCATTGCATCACAGCACTTCTCCTCTAGAAAGACACCTGAGTCACATGGTAGTACACACAGAAACACTCACCTAATAATAACCTTTGCTTGGGAATCCTTCTGTCCTCAGGCCTCACCACTTTCCCACTATCCTTCTAATCCTGTTATTTTGCTACTGCTCCTTGAGACACTTCCAAAAAAAAAGGATTTTGCTCAGAAGAGCCATAATTTTTTTTTTTTTTTTCATAAGAGCATAATACTTATTTAGTAGTACTACAGGATTTGCACCTATACTCTGTTTCAGTCATTCAAGCATTTTGGTTCAAAAAAAAAATCTAAATTTGTTCTTGACTGTATTAGAAACACAAAACAAGCAGAAAATCACAAAAAACAAGAGCCAAATATAATGAACCCTGAGGAAAAAATATCAACCATATTAGAGCTTTGCAGTTTGGCATGACAGGTGAGTATTTCTTTTCTTCAAAGATTCCAGTAAATCAGAACAATGGTGCTGATGGCATGGTATAATTGTCTCTGATATGCTACAGGGAGTGTTATTTATGGTTGTTTATAAAATATGCTGTCAGAATGGCAGGCTGCCTAGGACCTTAGCATTATTTATGGATTCTTCTGTCTTCATATGCCCTTTCGTGCACCAAATTAAAAAAACCCCAACATTTCAACTCTATGCTCTTGAAACAAGAGCACATCTTTCAGAAAATAAGATTTGTTATATTACACATCTGTTATTCTTAAGTTATTCGGTGAATACCTATTATGAAAAATATTTGCAGCTTCACCACAGTATTTAGCATGTTCTCTCTCAGCAAAAGCCCAAATTCTGTACTGACTGATGACACATGTAATTCTCCTTATGCCATTAGCATAATATTTGATGTAAGTCAAAAATCTGGACTTTTGTTTGGGGCTTTGACAGGTGCCTAGGGAAATGTATCAGCCTTTCCCATAGAATTTTAAAAATATGGTCTTAAATACCCAATACCTGTAAGACATCTTTGAAAACATAAAATGTTTTGAGGTACAATTTTCTTAAGTATAACAAATACCTACTTTGCCCATTATGCCTTTTATTTAAATCAGAAAATAAACACCGAACCTTTATAGACTTTCAAAAGGCAAATTTTAGAACTTATTTTCTCACTTCCTTTCAAAAAAGCTTTAAGCAAGTAGAGTTCCTAAAACACCAACCAACCACACATTAGTTTCTTCAGTTAAGTCATGCTCTTTAGTCATTTAGCAACAGAACATGGCTCACAGAGAGATGCAAGATAGGTGGAGCTGTTTGAAGTGTCAGAACAGTCATTCAGACAAGGTAGATCTGCAAATAACAGTGTAGATTTCTTTGAATGACCCCAAAAGAACTGCAGTAATACCAGCCACCTCAAGCAAATCGAAGTGATAAAGTAAGCAGGCTGATTTATTTTGTACGTTTTTTAATACATTTTTGGTGCTTTGCAGATACCAGATCTTGTCTAATAAGGTGCAATTTGCCAATGGCAAGATATAATAAATGAGTGAAGAAAATAGTTCATTGTGATACAAACAAATATTACAGAGAGGTCTAAATTGTTATACTTTTTGTCACCAATTATTTAAAGATGATAATGAAATATAAAACTAGAAAACTTATGACAATAAAACATTCTTCTTTTTTATCGGATAAGTAGTTATTTTTAAAAAGAGTATGTCACATTCACATTTAGTTCTCAGGCTCCTAAAAATACACACATTTAATAAGCACGTTTTTCATCCAAAAGCATCTGTCCTCCTCTTAAAAAATGAAACCAAATGACATGTATGACAGGTTCAAATTTGTTTTCAAGCTTCTTGCTAAATCACAAATGGAATGAGGATAAATGAATTAGGAATCCAGTAATGATTCTACTGTACCAGATCCCAGCAGCTGTTGATGAACCCTTACTGAAGTACACATTTTTACATGACTGTTACTTGAAGCAATCTTTTCATAATTTTCAGACAGCCTGAGCCATGGGAATAGTTCTAAATTGTTCTCAGAACAATTCAAGCCTCCTCTTTTATTTGCAGCATTGGAGGAAAGAGTTCAGAGGTAAGATGCTTAATTTTCTTATGCCATTCAGTCAAGCTGGAGACATGTATAATTTCCTTTAGTCCTCCTATACATATGCCCTGTATCTTAATGTTAACTGAACTACTTTAATACATTGTCCTGCCAAAATTAATTAATAGCATCTGACAGATGACAGATCACCTTTACTCATCTCTACATGGTTTTATACAAACATGGAAGGCTGAAACACAAGGAAGGTTAGAATGTATGATTACATTCATTATAAAAAAAAAAAAAAAAAAAAAAATTACTTGTCATGGAAAAGAAAACTGAGATGTTTGTTTTTCTAAAATTAAAATGATCAACATGATTTCCTTAAAAAAACATCCAAAGGATTTCAATATGAACTAAAAAAACCCAAACAATGTTCCAATGTTTTAATGTCAGTCTTTAGTTGCAGTTTGCGATTTCTCAGCTTCATTAGAAAAGTGAGTTACATATCCACAATATGATCTTATTAAGCACTTCTGGCCTTCTGCAGTTCACTAAGAGTATTTACCAAAATATATACTGCTTGCAGAGTTCTTGCATTTGATTTTAATTGTACTATTTCTGGCCCTGTTTTCAAAATACTACATGAGGAATACAGATATGCTTTAGCTGACTCCTACCACAAAATTAGCTGGTCCCAGAATTCTCAAGAAAGTTGAGGTAACAAGACAGATGACTAAACAGGGAGCAGACAAATATCTACTTTCCAGAAAAAGCCTTGATCTCTTTAGGTTTATTTGTTTATGTTGTAAAGAATTAAGTAGTCTCTGGCTGTTGGACAGACATCCAAAGCACAGGTTTTGTTACAGAATATAACACCTGCAACTTCAATGAGTAAATCCAATTTATAGTTGAAATTGAAAAGAACTCATCTCCTGAAGTTCCATCCTGTTGCTATAGAAGTTGCAGATATTTTGAGCAGACTAGTCTCTGCAAAACAAGACATTTCCTCATTATGGGACTATACCAATTAATTACCAGAAAAGGGCAATCTAGATAACACAAGCTGTAAACTATATGAAATTGCTTAAGTTCTTACAGAGTACAACACAGCTATGGCATACATGATTAAAACAATCTCTGTGTCACAGTCAGTCACATTTATCCCAGGCTTTTTGCCATTGGTACTGACAGATGTTACACTACTTGCATGATTTCTTGCTGGTCACAGACACTGCGGGGGAGGATACCCCAAACATTAACCACTAAACAATGCTACTTGGAAAAGGCAAACCCATGGGTTGTAACCCTCAGTAGTTCACTACTGTTCCTAAGAACAGTAAGCAATTATCAATTCTACTAACCCATCATATCTCCATAAGACCATCCACTTTTATGGCCTACTGGGAGAAACAGACATTTAAAATGATTGAGTTGTATCAAAACACTCAAAACTCATTCAAAACACATCACTTAAACTCAAGCTACAGAAATCACATGATGACACCAGCAGTCATCCAACAATTCTTGTCCATAGTGTGCCTGTCTACACAAGAAATGCCTAAATTTGGACACTTTCTTGGTCAAGCGGTCATTAGGATATGGAACAATCCTTAGAGGCCTTGCATTCATCCAGGCATATGCTGGAATACCAAGCTCTTTACAGTTTCCAGTTCTCAAAAAGGTAGCAAACATTTCTGACTTCTTTCTGTAAATATGGATTACACAAAGAGGAATTACACACACTTTAATCCTGCCATTTGTTTACCAAAGGGGCATACTGTTTTAAAAGGGACATACCAGTTTTGAAAGAATAAACAGAACTTTGAACAATGATGCTTTCACTTCAGGTTCTAATGTTCTTAACAGACTCTTCTCTCATTGTATCAACTAGGTATCATTCAGAATCCAGAGGTGAATAATGGCCTCAATCCCTTAAAAGAAACTTAAAATAAGGTCTGCTAAAATGTTATTTTGCACAGTGTTCTTTGCAAAAGGCTTTTCTGAACAGACCTTCAACAAAAAAACCCAAAACACATTCCAACTTAAAAATTAGAGACTTTTATGGAGAAAAAGGTGAAGAAATGGCAGAATATAAACAGAAGTAAAAATACAGTTTCCCATTCACATAAAAGATACTACGATCTTGAATTTAGGAGAATAAAAATTCCACAAGGGGAGCGAAAGAAGAGGGATTTGAAAACGATTTGCCTTTGGAAATGCAAAATAAAATTCTTCATTTCAGAAATCAAATTCATTAAACCAGTAGGAAGTAGAATAGAATAGGATTCAAAGGAGAAGTTGCACAACATCTCTCATTCATCTTCACAGTGATTAGTGAAGAGGCTAGAGCTAACTGCAGCAGATTTAGCTGGGCCCATGAGGAAAGCAGAGACACACAAAATGGTAGGAAAGAAACAACCAACCAAGTAACATTTTCCTGTGCAGTCTGTGATGCAGTCAAGAACGTGCAATACGCTGTGATCAATCTGAACAGTAAGAAATTGCATACCCTCACCCAGGAAACGAGAGACATTTTTATGAAAAAAAGAATCAAGTAATTCCAGCTCATTGACTAAGATCCAGAAATTGTCCAGAATCTTGCCCAACCTTCCCCTCCCTTATCCACTGATTGTACATCATCTAGTAATCATGTGTTTTATGCTGCTGGCTTGCTTTCAATGCAAGGACAGATGCCACGAGCTTCCTATTAGCACGATACAGACGGTAGCAGCACTTGTAAATCAACATGATGGATTACTCCAGGAAACGAGCAGATTCTGATTGCAGCAATAGGCAACACAGAAAGTGGAAGACTCTCCTATGCTTATGGCAGCATAATTTTAATTCCTTCTTTGATTTTAATTCTTCATTTGAAAAAGAAGTGTGCATAAGTATTATATAATTGGGAAACATGTTAATGAATCAGATTAATTTTTGCTAGTATCTTGCACAGTTATTTCACACACTGTTCTCTACCTAGAGCAGGTTACTGCCTTTGTACTTATCTGTAAAAGAGTTAGTTTATGTTAGTTTTATCCACATGTAGTGAAATATGCCAGTTTATTTAATACTATACAAGATTAACATTAAAGTGTAAAATGATCACTTTATGGGGAAAAAAAAAAGTAATTATACATACGTGGTTAAAGTAGAGTTTACTAACATCATTTTAAACCAGACAACATTATAACATCCTTTAGAATGGGAAATCTTATTTCTCAACAATGGTTTAATCAGCCTTGCCTTTCACAGACACAAGGTCACACAGTAAACATAAAATGTTTTTGTTGTGTTTTTCTTAAGAGCAAGGAAACCTCCAGAAAAATTTTTGCAGCATTTTAGCAAATACCACTGTAACATGCATTATGTTCAGAAAGTTGTATCTTATTTTTCTATTTCTTTCTAACCGTCCTAAAGGTTAGTATTTGAAATCAAAATTGATATTTACTGAAGCATCCTCCAACTTTCTCTTGACAGACATTCCACTCCCTTAAAAAAAAAAAAACAAACAACAAAAAACCAAAACCAAAACAAAACAAACCTAAAACCCAAACCAAAAATGGTGTGGTGGTTCTGGTGATTCAATGTAATACAGAGAGTAAATATGTAAAGCATAGCAAGGAAGGTAAAAATAGAACTATTTGAAAGTTGGTGGTAAAGCTGATTGTAACTTTCTTGTTCTCTCTCACAAAGCATATGAACAGTGTCTTTAGACTGAAGTAAATATCAGGTTAATACAGAGTATGGCAAATATTATTTGATTAACCAATACAATACACTATATTTTCACTAGATCTGCAGAATAGCTTAACAGCTGATAACAAAAGGTAAAAGTCTCCCAACAGACAGAGGATTTTGAATGAGCTTCTCAAATGAAGAAGACAGACAAAGGAAGACAGACCAGAGTTCCCTCTGTTATACAAATACACTTAGATGAACCAGCACAAGAGAGAATGGTAAGCCACAGGAAAGATATTAATCATGTACCTTTTTTTATCCTAGAAATTTTGTCATCTGATTCATGCCTATTTTAGACAATGAAGTCTAAAATAGTCTTCAGTGAAGAAAGGTAAAAGGATGACAGCAAGAACATAAGGGCTATATGGGCTGTATACGGCCCTGTCTTTGCCAAAAGGAAGACTCTGGCACAGGTCTTTATTGTCTCTTCTGATAATAGCAGAATTGTGCAAAAGCTATTTTCACAATAATTGTTCATTCTTTCTTTGCAGTGCTTGCAAAGCACCTTTGTTTCTCATTCTGCCCCTTTTGAGACTAGACATCAAAAAGCTAAGACATACTACTGTATACTCTGAAATCAATAGTTATACCAATGCAACACAAGAATAGGATAATATAACACAGATAAGAACTGCCACTAGCACTAGTCCTACTTATGAGGGCAAAAAATACAGTACTTGAGCTTAAAATATATATAAATTTGATCAGAATATTTATGAGATACACAACAAACAAAAGTCCTTTCATTCCATAGTAAAAGGACCATACAAGTGTTAAATTAACTGTAAAATATAATCTAGTTGTTCCTTCAATACTGTGCTAATATCATGGTATTCCATGAGGTGGAAAACAATAAGAAATCACACACAATTATACACTATGTTCGACCCCCACAATGTTATAGAGGAATCAAACTGCACAGAAGAGGTTCAAACTTCCTAATGCATATATCCTGCATTGCTCTTGCTTCTTTCTTTACTTTATAAAGAAAGGATACAGACTGAACAGAAAGGTGCTGATGCCAATCTCTACTGTACACTCCTACTTAGGCACAAACTCCTCTGTTTCTTCTGAGAAAGTGTTATATTGTACTAAAATACTGACCTATTTTGTGATTAATGCTCTTGCTTTAGTAGAAAACATGGATCCAATCACTCTATCTTTAAATGTTTTTATGTTGATATTACGAGCACTGCAGATTTCTGTAAGATCAAAACAAAGCATCATTTGTATCAGAGCCATTTATATATAGATGGACCCTCACACTGAACGTGGCATAATCTAGTTCTAAACTATCCAAACTGACTGACCAAATCAGAAGTGGACCCCTTGATGAAGTGCAGCACTGTAGCACTGTGAGGAATCCATCCTGCAAACTTCTTGACTTCAGAAATGTCTTCCACAAATGCCAGCTTAAAGGCCCTTTTTGAGTAGTTTCAACAACTGACTTCAGTACATAAACATGGAAAGTGAGCCAAGGTGCTTTATTTTCTGCATCTATTTTGTCCATTTTTTCACTGCCTTATGTCTACCACCATATTTACACATAAAGAAAGTGCACAAACAGCATATTACTGAACCAGGAGAATTACATGCAGGCCTAAATGTGCCCAATCATAAGCACCATTACAAAGTGCCACATCATGGTAGTCCAAGTGCCACCACATAGCTGGTCTGCCTATCAACTAAGCAACAAAGAAAAACATAAATGGGAACCCCATGTGGCTCAAAATAATATCCCTGGCAGTTACCAACAACAAGAGGCCTAATTCCAGCAAGTGAGTTTTGTTTGGTTGGTTGACCGCTTGGGATTTTTTTTCATCTATTAAAGACTTGCTGATCCACAGATTTCAAAGGATGCAAAGGAAAACTTTTTCACCTGTAAAGAGCATGAAATTTCCTGCTAAACTAAGAGCAGTTATGGAAAATACATATTACTGAAAGTAGCCAATACTTTTCATCATGAAACCACATTAGAGTAAACCATGCCATCAAAAGGGAATACTTGAGCTTTCAGCATCATGCATTACAAGCACTTCTAGGTGACAGGAGTGCTGTTTTCAGTTAAAGTATGGTCTGATTTTTTTTCCATCCAAAAGTAGCATTTCCTTAATACTAAACAATTAAAAATAATAGCTACTTATGAGCCATTCTAATTTATGTCTTGTATCAATTATATGTACCCCTCTAATTAGAAAAGTCAGCTGTGACATATCTTAATAGCAGAAGCTGTAGCGTCCTCTATTTTGTAGATATTTTCTTCAATTTACCGAATAATAGTAACATTAATATACTATAATTGCCTGTCTCCTTGAGTGGAGTGTTTATAAAATGGTTTTGTAAATGCAATCTTTGAAACACAAACCTTCAGACTGATTTTTAAGTTATGCAAAGTTTCTAAAAAATTATAGTTTCAGAAACATCACTATGAATTCTGCAAATCTGACTCAACACTCTAACGTTTTAGTATTATGTCAGCTCACTGATCCCCAAGACACTTTGACCAAAACGTAATTATGCTAACAAAGTGCTGAAGATCAAAGTGCCACATACTGCTGTAAATTTTCTTCAGGTTTCTGGCATATAAATACATAAGGATTTTATCAAGGGCAGAGGACATGCAAGTTATATACACAGTTAAAATTTCTATTGTGGAAAGCAAGACCTTTTTAATATAGGACAGGTTTTACCACTTCTATTGACATATTCTTGTAAGTGCCCACCTAAAAAAATTAGCTTACAGCACAAATAAAGGTTTGGTTGATTCTCTTTAATGATTCCCAAGTGAAAAATTTCACAAGAAGAAATCCACCCTCCTAGAAGACTCCAAATGTTATATGGCAAATTTTAACATTCTAACTGCAACTACTGGTTTGAAACAAACAAACAAACAAACAAACAACAACAAATAACCAACCAACCAACCAAACAAAAACCACAAAAAAAACCAACCAAACCAAAACAAACAACTTACCTATATACTAGCAGAAAAGTTTCCTCCATTGACAAATCTAGGAGGTTTAATGTTGCACAAGACAGTTTTTAAATTGTCTTGGAGGTGAGTTTCAGACTGTTCCTATCCTTACAGACAGTGAGGACAGATGGTTTAAATTTGCATCATTTCATTTAGTTATTGAAAAAAATGTAAATTTATTCAAAGAATCCAGATTTGTATCTTCCTTTTCCTGCAAAATATAAGCAAGGGGGATAGAAATGTGCTTGATAAATAATTTGAGTGAGATTTAATTGCAGGCTAGAATATTTCAGTAAGTAAACAGCTTTGTGAATTCCTAAAGGATCAGTGTGTCATCTTACTTTTCACAGGCCTCAGATAAACATCAAAAGGAAATCTGTCTCAGGAGATATGGACACACTTGGGGGTGGGGAAACATCAGCACATTTATAGGAAGGTTCCAGAAATTTCCTTAATCTTCAGAAAGACCAAGCGTACTACTAACAAACTTCAGAATTAGCTCTAGATTCATCCACATGAGAGCTCCCACCACATTGAACCTGATCCAGATAGATCTGTGGTAATACCCATGGAAACATATATTTGTTTCATTTTTGAAAGAACACATGTTATTATGAAGGCAGTGTGCTTGATTACACATGCCACTGCACAGATGGGTCTTCCTTATTATCTCAGCACAGCTTCACTGGATGCTCCTTGCTCCACACTGCCATACCACCACCACCACCAGTCACCCGTTCTGCTTGAGCAACAGACAGCTTCAACAAACTAGAACCCAGAAACAAAAAGAACAATGCTAGGCAGCATTTTCTATCAAAAGGAGCACAGCATGGCAGAATTAGGCCTCACACCTCTCCTCCAGATGCCTAGCCATTCTTCAAGCTACAGAAGGGTACAGACAGAAGTTGAGTGTACTTTATTAACTGAACACCAGATCAACGTTACTGTATTTTGTCAATCTTCTCAAGAACTTTATTAGTAGAATATTATTTACAATTTACTTCAAAATAGGAGTATAGGCAGGACCATGGTCCTCTATCATGGTCTTTTGCACAGTTTAGGTCCCAGCATGCCCAACTTTTAAATAAGAGCACCTTCTGGAAAACAATTAATCCAATTCTAAAATCACCAGTGATGGAAAAAAGCAGATCAATGCCTAGTAGTTTCTGTGATGGCTATTTATTCTTTCTGTGGAAAATTCCAATTAAAAGTAAAACAAAACAAAAGCTGGGAATAATACTAAATCCCAAGTACTGCATATTTTTTGAAGGTGTTTTCTCTGGAAATGCTTACAAACTGGTCAAATTGATCCTTAACGCTCTTTCTACTGACACTCAGCATGGAATACCTTTTATCTTTCACCATGAAGTATTTTCCAAAACTGTCACAGCTTTATGAACCTGTCTCAATTTACTGGCGTCTTTTTTGAGCTGATGACTCCAAAACTGAACACTCTGTTCTACTTTGATTATAAAAGTGAAAAATGCAGTGAAAATAACATTTCTAATTTAGATTTTCTGTTTCAAAACCTAAAAATATATTATCCTTTGGCCGTAACATCACCCTAGCAGTATACATTCAAGTGACTATGGATCAGCACCAGTATAATTTCACAATCATTATTCATCATTCCCCCACATAGCTCTGCTACTGCACTTTCACTTGTAATCATTTTATGTTTTCTTCCTGGTCACTAAGAAAAGAGTTCCAAATAATAGTCTGAAAAAGCTATTACTACCCCAAATATTGCTAAAACTACTAACTTACTTATTAACTCACTTTATTTAAGGTCTGCAATATGACTTACTATCCTTCCATTTTCTCAACCAAAACTTAAACAAGTGCTCACAGGAATCTATCACATAAAACACCATTGTCTGTATCAGCCAATCAAAATCACATTAGAAATTATACTAAGTCAACTTGGCAAGTTTCATCTTCCATCAAGCCTTTTCTGGGGTCATTATACTTCTCACTTTCAGTTCTTGATTATTCAAGCCTTTTTCTCAGTCATTCCATTATTTTTTCATGGACCGAGGAAGGATGAAAACTCTGAAACTGAGTCATAACAGTTGGAAAAGTGTTAATTTTCTTTTGATCTCTTGAAAGAAAAGGTTTTCATTCTTCTGAAAAAGGACTGACAAAATGCCAAATTTTAAGATCTTGAGGACCTGTTTAGAAAGACAGCCTTGAAAATTATTTGGGTTTATGAATGGTTTTCCATTTTCCATAACATTTAGAGTCACTGAGTTATTTGCCATACAGTGTTTTAATGTATCCTTTTCTTAATGTATTTATATTCCATGTATTGATAACATCAATCACAGGTGTGATACAGATGTTTAGTTTAGTTCCTCATCTGAGTTTTGGTAATTGCACACATTTATTCCATTTCAATATAACAGAACAGGTTAGTTTCACTATTTCAAGTACATTAATTCAATTCAATATTATTATTGGACTATACCTATCTAACCAAAACCTTCTAGCCTTAAATAATTTTTTTACGTTCTTTTCTTTCCCACAATCTGTCTTTCTGCAATTCTTAACTCTTACTTGGTATTTTCTCTATTTCTGTACTTCTTTGGTTAAACCCAGTTTTTTAACATTATAAAGTTGCGTCTAACTTCTCCCTAAAATAGAGGTGTTTGTTTTCAAAAGTAAAAGAGGGTCTTCTGTACCAAGTGTGGCATTAGGCTTTTTGATATTATTCACTGAATACTTTACAAACATCTCAGTTTTTATTCTATGACCTTTATTTTGTCTTTTAATCAATTTGATCACATTTTTTAAGTGAGCAGAATCCTGTCAAATGCTTTGCACCAAGCTGGGACTGAGTCTTCATTTTCAATCTGGATGAGGTCTGAATTAACATTTTTTGATTTGTAATATTCAGCATGTAATTGAGACAGGAATTGCGTTCTAGGATACTCAAGACATTTTGAAGTTACTTTCAAATTAGTTGAATGTAGGTTATAGCATGAAAACTTTATGTAAAAATTTCCATGATCTTCACAGTGAAGAATATTTTTTTCTTACTACGTATAAATAAGCCTTTAGAGAAACTGTCATTCTGTTCTTGGGACTGATCATTATAAAGCAGACACCCACTGTTACCATTTTGTGCTTCAGTTCTTGCAAGATTTATCCATTGTCACTGGAAGTTTCCCAAGCTATTGGTAATTCAGACAGCTAAAACTGTATTTGTCATAAAGAATCATTGTCCTCCCCTTCTGCCACTTAAGTCTTCCACAATATGTTAAATATCAAATCACGTGAGTCGTGCCACTGGGCTTCAGTGTTGCCATAGCGGTATTATATTTGTTAGTTTTCCTCCTCGGTTGCTGAGCAACTTTTAGAATATCATCTAAATAGAGTCTCCAGGATAATGCCGTAATAGCTTTACATTAGCATGAAGCAATGTTTGTTTAATTCACATTTTAACTTTATGGCCCTCACCCTCACTCTATTCTTGTTTAAAAGAAGAAATATGTCAGAACCATTCCTTCCAATATCTTTCTATTTTGCTAAAAGTATGCAGCCCTCCCACTGAGATTGAATTTACATCCCTTGTCCTTCTGCCCCTAAAAAGAATTTCCCAGACCACTGATAAAGTCTCCTCTTCTGAACAGATGATTAGGCTGCAGAGAAGCTAAACTATATTTGACGTAATTTTTCCCTTAAGAAGCTTTCATTTTATGCAGCTGAATATATCTTTACTCTTGAGAATAATTTCTTTGTTAGACCTTTATGCATATCTGTTTAAAGATTTGATCCCATCTTAGATTATATTTTTCCTTGAATAATTTTGCATATTGTATTTTAGGACCTTCTTGTATCAATGAGAATACTTTTTTGCACAGAATTTCATTAGGTGTTAAAAAAAGGAAGAAACTCAGAGCATCTTCCCTTGATGCATCTGCAGTTTCCAGCTTACATCTTGAAGCTATTCCTCTCCAAATAGCTTCCAGATGTCTCTTGCTGTACATGTTAGTAACATATAAATATGAAAAAAATCAAATCACTATTGATTTACAACACAGATAATTAGGGATGAATGTGTAGTAAAGCTTTCTAATAGAATTCTGTCAATCATTTCCAAGCACTACTTTCTCATTACGTGTTTGCTGAAACAATATGATGGAATTCTACTGGTGACATTTGAGTGATAGTGACTTTGATTTCAAAGGAAACGTTTCAGGTTCATTTCATTACCTTGGAAAAGTAAAAGCAAATTTGCCTTATGAAAAGCAATTACTTCTTAGCTGACCAGTGCACAATAGCAATATAAAAAAAGATTTCTCATTCCACTATTCAAATCCTAAACTAGCAAACTAGTGTTTGATTTTGCTTTAAACCAATTTTACCTTGTTTGAATTGCAAAACCATTTAATCTTCATAAAGTAGGTTATTATAATGGAGATCATATTTTATTGGTATAGTACACCAACCTGGGACAAACAGTTTTTTTTTTGTGGTTGGGTTTTTTTGTGGTTGGGTTTTTTTGTTTGGTTGGGGGTTTTTGTTTGGGGTTTTGGGGTTTTTGGAATTTTGGTGTGGGTTTTTTTGTTTTGTTTTTAATCTGAGGAATGAATGCTTAAAATTGGAAGAACACCCACACCCTTTAGTTATGCAAAAATTCAAAACTTTTTACAAATACTTACAATAAAAAGTATTCAAACTATAATAAACACATATATTCATGCTGCATGCATCATACAGCCAACAACATTTTGCATGCTATATAAAATGAAAGATCTTTGTCAGTTAACTGTTCTCTTTCCACAATTGCAAGAAGATCAACAATAAATAGGAGTTCAATATTTCACTTAAGTGGTTTCTACAACGAGTTGTATAAATTCTTGTGTTCCCAGGCTTGAGAGCCATAATTCTCAACTACTTATATGGCAATGAAGGTAGAAGATTTAAAGCAGATTCGACTTAAAGAACTGTAACTACAACCATTTCAGATAAATGTAGTATCAAAAATTCCCTTATCTTCCATGTTTAAACACAAATGGAGAATACTGTATTTGTGTCATATCTACCAATTTAATTACAGAATTTCCTTGGAGTTGTCAACATGAGCATCATCACAGTATTCCACAGCAACTTCTATTTTGAAGTCACTTTGGAAAATAAACAGATGAATACTGAATTATTAGCATCAGCAACAGGTGTATCATTCAGCAAGTCTAAGCAATTAATTAGAAATCATGGAAAGAAAATCACAAGAAGATGCCATATTTT